GGATGAAGGATTTAGAGGGTATGATATTAGGAACATTTGATCTTTTTACAATGTAACAGTATTGGAGCGGGATTTATGGAGTTTATTATTTAGCAACATCGGACTTGGACTTGCAAACCAATTTAATCCACAGGATCGGATGCCAGGTTCACACATATTAACATTTACCTAACGATACGTTAACAATATTAGTAGTTATTGATTTTCAGTCTCTGAATTCAGGATGGGATTGTCACTCGATCGGATATCATGGTGATGATGGACTGCTTTTCACGAACAGTACGGAGGGAGCCAAATATGGACCTTTGTATACCACGGGGGATACGGTTGGATGTGGTATAAACTTTTTTGAAAATAGTATATTCTTTACCAAGAATGGAATGAATCTAGGTAAATATGATAGCGAAACGTTGCATATATTTAGCACATTAATTTTGATAAATTGAAATTCTCATATCGAAAACAGGTAATGCCGTTGAAAATTATACTCTTTTCGGTCCTTTGTACCCGACCATGGGCCTAATAAGTAAAGATGAATGCGTTGAAGTGAATTTTGGGGCAAAACCATTTGAATATGATATCGAGTTTCATGCGAAGGTATAGATTATTGTTTTCGAATCGTCATTTTTCGGTTCACCTTTTAAGTTCATAATCTCTGAAGTATATACAGTATTAATCGTGTCTATTTTTGAATATCAATACATTTTTTTTTTTTCTAGATGGTATTTCAAAAAGCTCTGATGTTTGGTAAAAAGGTAAAACCCGAATACGAGTTTTGGTGAATGAATGAATAAATGAATGGGATGTGAAAACGGTCAAGAAAAAGAAACACTTGATGGTAAAGTTAAAATAAAATTAAGTAAAGAACACGGGATTTTCTACCGTGACATTTAACAAAGTCCAAAATGAAACATCATAAGCAGTGCAAACAATTTTTAATGACAGTTCTTTGTATTTCTTTTTTTTTTTTTCTATATTATTGTGCTAAAAGGATGCACGTATTACGTAATTCTTTGTTTAATTTTTTTTTATACGGCTACCAAGTGAAACCTAATTCATTTAAACTGATGGTGAGCGGAATAGCGAACCTTCTGCCCGGAAAAATTAGGCTAATTATGAGAAAAACATTTTAGAATCCTCTTTACCAATAACAAATAGTTGTTGAGATTAGGGTCTTTGTAGATTTGACTAATCAATCGCTCAACAAGAATATCGTCAAGTGACGATAAAAGTCCTCACGAATTCTGGTATGCATAAGTTTAATAAAATTCAATCAGAAACGCGTATATTTTTAATACCACGTGATCGTGTGATATTGTAAAGTGGCTTGCATCAGCATTACAGTGTCTAATAAAATTATTTGACACGTGACAAAATTTAAGAAAATCAGTGTTGTTTGAAAAACAAACCTCGGCGTCAGGGATAAGAATGAAAAAAGAACTATGAAATCTGGTGATGTATGGATAGAAAAAAGTGTGATTTTCGCGTTTGCGAATTTGCAGTAACTATGATTGAGGGTTTTGAATATTTCGAGGAGGTAGGATGGTTGAAAGTATTGGTTTATCTGGTGTCATTGAATATTTCAAAATATCAGCCAACAATTCGGCATCGAGAATTTGTCGAAAAGGGAATAATTTATCCAAGATTTCCTCATTAGAAAGTTGAAAGTAACGAATATGTGGCAAGCAATTCCGAATCGTTGTTTTTAACGCGAGAAAATCCTTGTCGGCCCAACCTTCAATATCTGGTGACAAATCAGGATTCTGTGCAATTCCCCATTGAATAACGTAATCCCAGACCTTGGATTCTTCTATTCGCAGATCATCTCGTTTGATAATTGATAATAATACATTTTCAGGAAGGGTATTGAATCTGTCAGATTCAAATATCAAACTTGGGTATTTCGAAATGATTTTGTTGCAGTAATCTTGGAGAATACCGGGTTTGTGGATGTCATAAGTGGTCCGATGAACTCTAGTAAAGTGCAAGCGCAACCAGGAAGCTTGCTTTTCAACGAAATAGTTTTCAAGATCTTCAACAAATTCTTCAAGAAGAAATTTGTTGGCAATCACCCAAGTGTCAAAAACAATGGAAGTTTCTAATTCTTCAAGATCCACGAAACCACTGTAAATATATCTTGGTGGAGCGTACAGTTAGACAGTTAAATTATTGTAAATATCTATTGCATTTTTGTAATATTTAAACAGTGTACCTGACGATAATGCCAATGATCCTTGCCGACGTTTGAGTTAATCTGATTTTTCGTACATCTTTCTCCCCATTTCCTAATCTTGCATAAAGGTAGGGACATCTGCAGCATAAAATTATCGAATGAACTTTGAATTGTTGACTAGTTGACGTTTCATCCACTTCGATAATAGCGTCGTATTCCTTTTCACTTTTAAGAAGTTTACTGAAATCATTGGAAAAATCATCAAAATGTTTTTTTGATGATACTAATCTTCTTTTGTAGTTTCGAACTTCAAGTTTCAGAGCAGCTAGCTCTTCTTCTAATTCTCGAACCTTACGTTTCTCAAATATCAAATCCCTCTCGGACTCCCGAGCCTTACATTGCTTTTGTTTCAAAGCCTCCCGAGCCTTAATTTCTGCCTTCTTTTTCAATTTCATTCTTTTGTCCAAGCTTTTGGAAAATCAAAATAATTTATTCTTTTTTAATTTATCATACCATGGGCCACATAGATTGAATTTTTCAAAACCGCGATTTCATAATTATATTATTACATACTCGGTAAGCTATTTCAAATACTGATGATTCATGTTACAATCATAAAACCATTCGATCGTTTACTCTATTACATTACACACACACGCGTATCATTACATAAATCTAATTTGTTAATGTTTGCCTAATAAATTTTTCTTAACCAAACGTTCGTACTCTGGATGACGAAGAGACAGTGATAAACATAATTCTGATGCTAATAGAAAAAAAATATCATTTTCATTGTCTCATTGAGAGCGATCTTTGTTTGTTGATTCGATAACAGTTCGCACCGATTATTCTACGAATGATAGGAAAGAAGATGTCATTGATAAATGTAGTGAGCTGCAGAGAAGACCATTATGAATTACTTGTCATCATTTTCAAAGAGATAAACCATACCTAATTAGCCCAGTTTGGAATCATTAACTTCCTTTATTAGTTTTTAGGACGGAGTTACACATCTTCGAATGCATTTGATCATCAAGTAAAACATGAAAAATTCTTCCATCTTGTTATTCTTTCTTACCCTTTTTTGCTTTCTTCGGAAACAGGGAATTTCCAAATTTCGTAAGTTTTGTGACTTGCTGTAAATATTCAACAATTCGAAAAGAAATATATATATACTGTACATACATGCATAAAAATCATTCATTTTGAATTTCTTTTTGTTTGTCTAATCAAAACTCGTTCCCACAAAATTTGCAATGTCTACCGATCATAAAGATTATCAACCGTCCACCCCATTGATCCCTCGTCGCCTACTCTTCGGCAATCCTAATCTAATTCAACCAAAAGTTTCGCTCGATGGTAAATACATCGCATTCATTTCCCCGCGAAATGATATATTGAATATTTACGTTGCCGAGGTCCCTGACGACGACTTTGGCGTGGATTATGGCAAGGAACTGATAAAAATGGCGAAACCCATTACTGAGGATAAGAAACGTGGCATCAGGGATTTTCATTGGAGCTTTGGAAATCAAATCATTTTTGCAAAGGATAAGGACGGGGACGAAGGTAAGATGTTTTCAACCTTTAATCTATTTGCTGTACTTATTCACTTGGCTCAATTTTACCTCGGATAAATGTAATAATAGACTTTAAGTTACATTCGGTCGACGTAAAAACCCTGGAAGAGAAAATCCTGACTCCTTTCGATCAAACCCTATCCTATCCCGTGAAATTTTCTCCCCGTTTTCCGGATGAAGCCATTGTGGCCATCAACAAACCCGATCCTGCCGCCCATTCACTTTATCGTGTCCATCTTCGCACGGGCGAATTGCGTTTGATCGAAGAGAATAAGCTTCATTTCTCCGGGTATTTCGTCAATGATGACTTGGAGGTGGTGTTAGCTACCAAACAGACTGACGAGGCTGGAAGTAGTATTTACAAGAAGGTCGGAAACGGTGTCGAGGAACAGGATTGGAAATTGTTGATTACTTTTGAAATTGACGATGTTGGAAGTTCGTCGATTATCTCGATTGCTCATGATGCGTTTTACCTGAAGGATTCCAGAGGTAGAGAATTCAATGCGATTTATAAGATAAAGTTGGATGACGACGAGCTAAACCAGGTTCTTGTCGCCGAAACGCCCAGCACGTGCAAAGCCGAGATCGGTGATGTGTTACTTGATCCCATTACGCATGAACCTATCGCGTTTCAAGTCAACTATTTGAGAAAAGAATGGTTCTCCATCAGCCCCGAGATTTTCAAAGATCTCGAGTTTTTGATGAGTTATGACTCCTCTCAAGACGGCGCCACGGGAAAAGGAAATAGCGGATACCGAAAATCTGACATCACCATAAATTCTCAATCTCTCGACAATCAAGCTTGGACGGTGGTCTTCACGAGCGACATTGATCCCACAAAATATTATTACTTCGATCGAAAAAATAAAAAATTAAGGTATTTGTTTAGTGATCGTGAAGATTTGAAGGATTACAACTTGAGTCCCATGTGGCCAGTGGTTATCAAGGCACGAGATGGATTGGAATTAGTTAGCTATTTGACGATACCGGTGGATAAACTTTCGAACAAGGACGATTATCGACCCACACAACCTTTGCCCTTGGTTCTTAATGTCCACGGTAT